CTGTGGCACCACCGTCTTGGCCACCCCTCCTTGCCCCGTCTTCGGAGCATGGCTTCCCGTGTCCTTGTCTCTGGTCTTCCCCAGTCTCTCCCTCCTCTCCCCTCCGGGCCAGGACCTTCCTGTGTCCCCTGTGTCGAGGGTCGCCTCCGGGCTACTCCTCACTCCTCCCACTTCCCCCCGACAGAGGCTCCCCTGCAGACGCTTCACATGGATGTGTGGGGCCCAGCCCCCGTCCGTGGGCAGGGTTACGAGCGCTACTTCCTGTTGGTGGTTGACGACTACTCGCGTTACACCACAGTCCTCCCCTTGTGCAGCAAGGGTGAGGTCACTGAGGTGCTGATCGACTGGATCCGCGAGGCTCGTCTCCAGCTCAGGAAGAGCTTCGGCTCGGACTTTCCTGTTCTGCGTCTGCACTCGGACAGAGGCGGAGAGTTCTCCTCTGGCCTTCTGCGTGCCTACTGTCGTGCGCGAGGCATCCGCCAGTCCTTCACGCTTCCGGACTCACCACAGCAAAATGGGATTGCTGAGCGCCGCATTGGCATGGTCATGGATGTCGCTCGTACGTCCATGATGCATGCGGCTGCCCCCCATTTTCTGTGGCCGTTTGCGGTGAGGTACGCGGCGCATCAGCTCAACCTTCACCCCCGGGTCTCTCGGCCTGCGATGTCCCCAGCCTTGCTGTGGACAGGGAAGGTTGGCGATGCGTCTGTGTTCCGTGTCTGGGGATCTCGGGCGTTTGTCCGCGACTTGTCTGCGGACAAGCTGTCCCCTCGTGCTGCTCCCTGTGTCTTCCTTGGCTTCCCCACTGACGCCCCAGGGTGGCAGTTTTACCACCCCTCCTCTCGTCGTGTTCTGTCCTCCCAGGACGTCACGTTCGACGAGTCAGTCCCCTTCTACCGTCTCTTCCCCTACCGCACTCCTTCCCTCCCCCCTCCCCCGGACTTCCTTGTACCGGTTCCCCCCCCGGTAGACCCCCTCCCCCCTCAGGTTCCTGCCCCCTCAGGTGTGTCCCAGGTAGACGCCGTTGACCCGGTCGAGGTTACAGGTGACTCTGGTGCTGCTGCGGGTGCTGAGCCTGGGGGTGCTGACTCTGGGGGTGCTGTGCGCGGGGGTGCTGAGCCTGGGGGGTGCTACTGCTGGGGGTACTGGGCCTGCGGGTGCTACTGCGGAGGGTGCGGAGCCTGGGGGTGCTGAGCCGGGGGGTGCTGTGCCTGGAGGTGATGGGTCTGGGGGTGCTGGGTCGGGAGCTGCTGAGCCTGGGGGTGCTGCGTCTGGAGCTGCTGAGCCTGGGGTTTCTCCTGCTGCTGCGTCTCGCCGGGAGCCCCTCTCTCCACAGGAGCTGCGCGAGTGGTTCGCTCGCCGCTGGAGGCGTGCTGCTGAGTCTGGAGGTGCTGCTGGAGCTGGAGCTGGAGCTTCTTCGACCGTCGAGGGTGCGGGTGCTGCCGGTCCCGGAGCTACTGGACCTGCGGGTCCTCCTGGAGCTGGAGCTGCTGAGGGCGTTGGTGCTGAGCCTACTGCTGTTGGTCCTGCCGCTGGAGGTGTGGGTGGCGCTGGTGCTGTAGCTGAGGGTGCTGGTACTGTCCCTGCTGCGTCTGGAGCTGCTGAGCCTGGGGTTTCTCCTGCTGCTGCGTCTCGCCGGGAGCCCCTCTCTCCACAGGAGCTGCGCGAGTGGTACGCTCGCCGCTGGAGGCGTGCTGCTGAGTCTGGAGGTGCTGCTGGAGCTGGAGCTGGAGCTTCTTCGACCGTCGAGGGTGCGGGTGCTGCCGGTCCCGGAGCTGCTGGACCTGCGGGTCCTCCTGGAGCTGGAGGTGCTGAGGGCGTTCGTGCTGAGCCTACTGCTGTTGGTCCTGCCGCTGGAGGTGTGGGTGGCGCTGGTGCTGTCGCTGAGGGTGTTGGTGCTGTCCCTGCTGAGTCTGGAGCTGCCGCGCGGCCTCGGCCGTACTTCGTTCCGCTCCTACAGCAGGTTCTTGGTCTTTCTCCTTCGGTAGAGTGTCCACATCCTGTCCAGTCGCAGTCACTGTTGGAGCCTTCCTCTCCTCTGCCTGCTCCCTCTCCTTACACTGGTCCTACTGGAGGTCTTGCTGAGCGTCGTGAGCCTGCGTCTCGTCCCGCGTCGCCTGTTCGTGCTGCTCGCGCTAGTGGTCGCGGTTCGCGTCAGCGTCCTCCTCCTGTCCCTGGCACGCACCGGATGTCTCTGCGTCCGTCCACTGCTCCTCTGCGTGCCCCTTTGCCTTCTCCTCCTGAGTCCTCTCTTCCTGCGCTTGCCGACCCTGAGTCGGACTCTCTTCGCGCTGCCAGTCCTACTGTCACGCGTCTGCTTGCTACTGTCGTCACTGACCCCTCTTTTGAGTCCACTGCTGCGTCTGCTCTAGTCGCTGAGCTCGTTGACTTTGCTGCTCGCTGTCGTCTCGACTACGCTGCTGGTCTTGTTGCTGAGTCTGCGTCTGTCTGTCCTCCGTCCGTCGGGGGTGAGTGTGCTCTTGGCACGGACGTCCTAGAGGACAGACAGGAGGAGTTACAGTGTCTAGCGGCTGCTTCACCTCATCTCGCGTCTGTACTGCTTGCCCCTGAGGGAGACCCGGATGCACTAGACATCCCGACTCCGCGTTCTTACGCGGAGGCCGTAGAGGGTCCCTACTCCTCTCAGTGGCAGGCAGCTATGGATGCAGAGATGGCTTCCTGGAAGTCCACAGGCACCTACGTTGACGCAGTTCCCCCTCCTGGGGCGAACATCGTCAGTGGCATGTGGATCTTCCGGGTGAAGCGGCCGCCGGGCTCTCCACCTGTCTTCAAGGCGCGGTACGTTGCTCGTGGCTTCAGTCAGCGGCAGGGAGTTGACTACTTTCAGACCTTCTCTCCCACCCCGAAGATGACCACTCTTCGGGTGCTGCTGCACATAGCCGCTCAGCGCGACTACGAGCTTCACTCTCTCGACTTCAGCACTGCGTTCCTGCAGGGTAGCCTGCACGAGGAGATCTGGCTGCGCCGTCCACCTGGCTTCACTGGGACTTTCCCTCCTGGCACCCAGTGGAGCCTCCGACGGCCAGTCTACGGTCTCCGCCAGGCACCGCGTGAGTGGCACGACACACTGAGGACTACGCTTGCGGCTCTTGGGTTTGCTCCTTCTACTGCTGACCCGTCGCTGTTTCTGCGCACCGACACTTCACTGCCGCCGTTCTACATCCTCGTGTACGTCGACGACTTGGTCTTTGCCACAGCGGACACTGCTGGACTCGCCTACGTGAAGTCCGAACTGCTGAAGAGACACACGTGCACAGACCTGGGTGAACTGCGCAGCTACCTTGGCTTGCAGATCACTCGGGACAGAGCACGCCGCACCATTACCTTGACTCAGTCACACATGGTGCAGCAGGTCCTTCAGCGCTTCGGCTTCACGTACTCCTCGCCTCAGGCCACTCCTCTGCCTACTCGCCACTCACTCTCAGCTCTGCCTTCGGATGAGTCCGTAGAGTCGAGTGGTCCGTATGCAGAGCTTGTTGGCTGCCTCATGTACCTGATGACCTGCACACGACCTGACCTTGCATATCCTCTGAGCATTCTTGCACGCTATGTTGCTCCTGGGAGACACAGACCAGAGCACATGGCTGCAGCGAAGAGGGTATTGCGCTACTTGTGCAGTACGTCGGGCATGGGGCTTGTGCTTGGAGGGCGGAGTCCAGTGGTCCTTACCGGCCACGCGGACGCTTCTTGGGCTGACGACCAGGCTACGCAGCGGTCGTCACAGGGTTACACCTTCAGCCTTGGTTCCGGCTCTGTCTCGTGGCGGTCTACTCGCTCGTCTTCGGTTCTCGGCTCCAGTTGTGAGGCTGAGATCTACGCCGGGGCCATGGCTGCACAGGAGCTTCGCTGACTCACCTACCTGCTGACTGACCTTGGAGAGCCGCCTCGTTCTCCTCCAGTGCTGTACGTAGACAACAAGGCCATGCTGGCCTTGTGTCGAGAGCAGCGCTTGGAGCACAGAACGAAGCACATTGCTCTCCGCTACTTCCTTGCTCGTGAGCTGCAGCAGCGTGGTCAGTTGCGACTTGCGTACGTGGCCTCTGAGGCCAACACTGCTGATGTGTTCACCAAGGCACTCGCGCCTTGTGATCATCAGCGCTTTTGCACCCAGCTGGGTCTTGTGTCTGTCTTGCCTCACTTGCTCTCCTCTTGACTTTACTTGTACTGTGACATATATATATACCTGCTCTTGCTTGTGTAGTTTTATATATATGTCTGTACTCCTGCATGTGAACTGGCCTCTGGCCCTGCTCTTGTGCTCGGACTGTGTGGTGACTTTGTGATCCACCCTGAGCTTGCTTTGCTTTGCTTTGCTTGACTGGTCTTGTGACCCCTTGTTCTCCCCCACTTTGCCTATGGGGGTGTGTCAAACATTATATATGTTATACTTGTGTAGGCTACAGTGGGTTAGCCTATAGGGGGTACACAATTCTAGGGTTTACTACTTGTACTCTTTTCACTTCTAGTTTATCCATTCCTGTTCGCTTATTCTCACACAACCTTGTTCGTGGCACACCTTTCATTTCCGCGAAGATCTTGCAGCAGATTCTCTCGGCCCACAGCAAGTTTGTCATCAGTTACAAGCAGGCGTGGCGGCTGCGTGAGGCAATCCAGAAGGAAATGTACGGGGATTGGCAGGAGTCGTTCGGGTTGCTCCCGGCGAAGGGCTTGCAGGTTCCAGGAGAAAGATCCGGGTGGAAAGTTCAAGATTCATACGGTCGACGGATGCTTCCACCGGATGTACATACAGCCGTCCGCATCCCGCGGTGCGCTTGGTTTTGGCCGCCCGGTTGTTGCACTAGACGGAACCTTCCTAATCAGTGCTCAACGCGCAACCCTGCTCATTGCCGTGGTCCTCGACGGTAACCAGAAGATTCTGATGCTGGCGTGGGCTCTGGTCGAAGGAGAGAACAAAGGTTCGTGGTCCTGGTTCCTGCAACACTTTCTGGAGAGCTTCCTGGAGTGGCCGCACCGTGACGATGCATCTATTATCAGCGATCGTGACAAAGGCCTGATTCCTGCCGCACGAGATGTACTCCCGGCTGGCATACCTCATTACTTTTGTGCTTGGCATCTTCATCAGAATGTTGTGAAATTTGGAGAGGCTGCTGCTCTTTTCTATTGGCGTCTTGTGAAGTGCAGGGACGCCAACAAATGGGACGCATTGGTTGCAGCAGGCCGCCGTGACTTCAAGGAAATTATGAACTATCTCCTCGGCGTCGAGAAGCCGATCTCGGGTCCAGCACCGGTAGATGCTGCTGAGCAGCAACGTCCCGCTCCCACTACAGCAGCTGAAGCAGGTCAACAAGCTGCAGAGAACCGTCGCCAGGGTCGTGAAGCAGCGCGTGCCGCCAGGGGTTTAGGGACCACATCACATGCGCATGGGCGTGGGGCGGGTGACGCGAGCGGGCCGGGAGCCACAGCTCCCGAACCAGGGTCTGCACCTACTGCAAGCACTTCTGCCCCAACGGGTCCGCCGGCTGAGCCCCCTGCCTCAACCGAGCCGCCCAGTCGTCCCTCAGCCTCGACTCGTGCAGCTTTGCGTCCATTCGACTATGCTCGCATCCTGCGACGCGTTAGGACAGGTTACATCCCCAGCAACATCTGGACGGATGCGCCACGTGCAACAGGATCAAGCGGAAACTCGGGCCAGGGTGGAGAGGAGCAGGCTGGGGGAAATACCTGCCAGGCATTGGTCGTTGTCACTCTGGATCACCCGTGGCCAGATGTCGGTAGTGGCAACCCCCATGTGAGGGTTGAAGCCGACGTTGAGGAGGACGATGAGGAGGAGGCGGATGCAGAGGAGGCAGAGGCAGATGATGCGGATGACCCAGCCGCAGCAGAGAGGAACCAGGCGGGGGCAGACGAGGATGCCAATGATAACACGGCCGAGGCCGGTGTCGCGGAAGGGGACCATACTACATGCGTGAGGACAGGGGTCAGGCGGAACAAGCGTGGTACCAGGAAGAAGCTGGGAATCAACCTCGTCCACTGGACTCGCATTAAGGCCCCAACCCGTCGCTTTGGGATCTTTACGAGCAACGCAGCAGAGCAGGTCAACAGCTCAATCGTGCCCAATTGTCGCTTGCCGATCACCCCTCTGCTCGGGGGTCTCTGGGACTGGTATCGGAATTGGTATTGTGAACGCAAAATGGCTGCGCGGGAGAGAACTGCTCTAATCACGGAAGCTGAAGAGGAGCGGATGGTGTTGAAGGAGACCCGGGCAGAGGGGTACGAGCTATTGGGCGGGGATCTTGAGGAAGGAACCATCCAGACCAGGGACACCGACAATCCCAAGGAATGGAGGTCCTTCAACGTCAACATCAACAGCAAAGTGAGGACATGCGACTGCTCAAACTGGGATCAGTACCAGTTTCCTTGCTCCCATGCCGTGGCATTTGCTCTGAAGCGAAAGCTAGACCCTCGCACCCTCGTCTCTGACTTCTACACCACGAAGACCTGGGCGGAGACGTATTCTTCAACGGTGCGGGGTTCCTGTGTGGACCGCATCGTCCTTGGGAGGAAGCTGGCCGCACCAAGCCAGTGCGATGCTCCACCCTTTCGGCGCATGGCTGCCGGCCGCCCGCCAAGCTACGAACGCGTCGAGAAGGCTGTGCATCCGTAAAAGTGCACCGTTTGCCATCTCCACGGTCACACTAAGAACCGCTGCATGGGCAAGTATGGTGGCAGCACATACCCGGAGAAGAGGAGGTAGCGTAAGCGCCCCAAGGCCCGTAAGTCCTATCGTGAGTCGGCACCTTTTGCGGGCACTATTTGAGAAATGTGGGGATTTACGGTAAAGTGTAGTTCCTACATGGGTTAAAGTATTCAGTATAGGGGGCGGGGTTACGGTATAGATTAGTTTCTTTAGGGTCTAGACTACAGTGGGATAGAGTAATCAGTATAGTGTTGTCGGCAGTGTCACCATTAACGTTATCTTGATTAATCAGAATATTATACCCACTAGTGCGCATGAAGAGCATCAAGCGCAAGTCAACCTATAGTGAAATTCCCGTGAAGGTTGGCTTGTACCACAAATGGAAACGGATTGATCACCATTAGCATACAGAAATAATGTGGGTTTCTCCTATCGTCCTTGTCTCGTCGGGACCACCTCAGCAGATTATTGAGAGCAAGGTCTGTCAGAACATTATAGCTTACTTATTTGTGTAGGCTATAGTGGGGTATCCCATAGGGGGTACAACCCAATTAGGGTTTCATATTTGTACTCACTTCATTCATAGTTCATTCATTCTCGTTCACTTCTTCTCATGGTATCGAGCAGGTTCCCCTGTGGGACCTGTGCTTAGGGCCCACCACCTCGAAACGTCCTTTTTTTTCTGCCCTAGCCGCTAGCGCACCGCTCGCCCTCGAACGTGAGCGCCGCCCCTAGCGCCCGTCCGCTGCCTGCTCTAGCGCTAGCCGCCCGACGCGCCGCCCACAGCGCTGCCCGACGCCCGAGCCCTAGCGCCGCCCTAGCGCCGCTCGACGCGCCAGCCTAGCGCCGCCCGACGCGCTGCTCGACGCGCCGCCCTAGCGCCGCCCAACGCGCCGCCCTAGCGCAGCCCATCGCGCTGCCCGTGCAGCCGCCCTAGCACCGCCCGTCGCGCTGCCCAACGCGCCGCCCGTAGCGTTGCCCGCTGCCCGCCCTAACGCCGCCCGTCGCGCTGCCCAACGCGCCGCCCACGCGCCGCCCTAGCGCCGCCCGACGAGCAGCCCGTGCAGCCGCCCGTGTGCCCGCCCGTGCACCCGCCCGTGTACCCGCCCGTGCACCTGCCCGTACACCTACCCGTGCGGCCGCCCGTGCACCCGCCCGTGCACCTACCCGTGCGGCCGCCAGTGCAGCCGCCCGTGAGCAGCCTGCGAGCCGCCCCAGCAGCCCGTGCAGCCGCCCCAGTCGCCCGTGAGCCGCCTCGGCCGCCCGTGCAGCCGCCCGTGAGCCGCCCGCTCGCCGCCCCAGCCGCCCGTGCAGCTCTCCACGAGCCGCACCACTCGCCCGTGCTGCCGCCTGTGAGCCGCCCGCGAGCCGCCCGCGAGCCGCCCGCGAGACGCCCACGCCGCCCGAGCCGCCCACGCCGCCCGAGCCGCCCGAGCCGCTCGAGCCGCCCGAGCCGCCCGAGCCGCCCGAGCCGCCCGAGCCGCCCGAGCCGCCCGAGCTGCCCGAGCCGCCCGAGGAGCCGATCTTCTGCTCCTGTGGGGCTCCCACTGCTCCTGGGCCGGCGCAGCTGCTGTACTGCCGTGTTGCTGTGCCGTTGTGCTACCCGACTCTTCCTGCCCAGTGAGACTGTCAGCTGCTACAATGGCCACCCCCAGTGTCCTGACTTTTGACGCTGAGGGTCGCGCCATTGACTTTGCAGTCTGGATTGAGGACCTGCAGCTGTACTTACTGTGCGATGCGATCGATGAGGTTTCTCTCTTTGACTTTGTCTCTGGCGCTGTCCCTGCCCCTCCTGCTGATGCTGACCCCACTGTTCGCTCCAATTGGGCCACACGCGATGCTGCTGCACGTCTTGCTGTGCGTCGCCACCTCCCTTCCTCCGAGCGTGCACACTTTAGTCAGTGCAAGACCGCTCAGGCCTTGTACGATGCTGTAGTTGCGCGCTACTCCTCCCCTTCTACTGCTACACTGAGCCGCCTCATGCTACCGTACCTCTTCCCTGACCTTGCTGCCTTTCCCACAGTCACTGACCTCTTTACCCACCTTCGCGCTAGTGACACTCGCTACCGAGCTGCGCTTCCTGCTGCCTTCCTCTCTGAAAACCCCCCTCCCATGTACATCACCCTCTACTTTCTAGTCACCCGTATCCCTGAGTCCCTTCCTGCTGTTAGGGACCAGTTTCTCTCTGTCTGTCCCACCACCCTCACTGTCGACCTCCTGGAGAAGTCCCTGCTAGCGGCCGAGAAGAGCATAGTCGCTGTAGGGGCCTCTCGTGGTGACCCGTGCACCCCCATCTTTGAGGGGTGTTCTCCTTCCCCCCTAATACCCTCTGTCGCCTCTGCTGCTGCAGCCGACCTCGTTGGTTTAGAGTCGGTCGGTGCGGCGTCTGCCCCCAGTGGTAGGCGCCGCTCTGGCAGGGGCAAGGGGGGCAAGGGAGCGGATGGAGCTAGCGGGGGCGGTGGCGGAGGAGGTGGGGGCGGCGGGGGGAGTGGGGGTGGCGGTGGGGGTGGAGCCGGGAGTGGAGGTACTGGTGGCGGCAGTGGAGGCGGAGGTGGCAGCGGAGGTGGGGGCGGAGGTGGCAGTGGGAGCGGCGGGGGCGAGGGTAGCGGTGGCGGCGGTGGCGGCGGAGGCGGAGGTGGCGGTGGTGGAGGTGGTCGGAGTGGCTCGTCCCAGCGGAGCGGCACTGGGGGTGGTCAGCGCCAGCAGCAGCACCAGCAGCAGCGCTCTCGCGACGTCCCCGCCCCTCAGCAGCTCCGTGAGTGGTACTCGCAGCGTCAGCGTGGTGGGGCGTTCGGTCCATGCACCTACGTCCTTCGCACCAGCGACCGCGCGGGTGAGCAGTGTGGGGGCACCCACACCGCTCGTCGCTGCTTTGCCCGCTGGACCGACGCTTGGCGCCAGCAGATTCCGCAGGCCTCTGAGATCCCCCGCTGGGGAGAGCTGTCCAGGGCTGGTGTAGCTGTTTTTGATCTTGACTTTGATGCTATCCTTGCTGCCATGTATGCTGTGACTGTTAGTGATGATGGTGACTGTTACCGGTGTTTCCCGCCCGACCCGGGCATTGGTACTGCTGCGTCAGGTGCCAGTGAGGCTGCTGCTCTAGGTGCCAGTGCGTCTGTGCTCTTAGGTACTGGTGAGTCTGCCCTCTCAGGTACTGTGTCGGCTTCTGCCTCTCACACCTTCACCCTTGACTCTGGGGCGTCTCGCTCCTTCTTTCGGGACCGCACCACTCTCACGCCGCTTAGTTGGCCTGTTGCGGTGTCCCTGGCTGACCCCTCTGGGGGTCCTGTCCTGTCTCGTTTCTCCACAGTCCTCCCGTGTCCGGCGACTCCCTCTGGCACCCTGACTGGTCTTTACCTCCCCTCGTTCTCTACGAACCTGGTGAGTGGTGCTGACCTACAGGAAGTGGGTGTCCACCAGTTCACTCCTGCTCGTCAGCGGGTGACACACTGCACAGAGGCTAGCACAGGTCGCCACCTGGCTACGTTTACACGTCAGCCAGGGTCGAGCCTGTACACACTGACCACTGCTTCTCCTCCCGGTGCTGAGTCTGGTAGAGTCCCTTCGTCTGGTCAGGTGTTTGCTGCAGCGTCCAGGTCTGGTCCTGAGTCTGCCCCCTGTTCGTGTCGCCGTCTGTCTCACGAGACTCTCCTCTGGCACCACCGCCTTGGCAACCCCTCTCTGCTTCGGCTCAGAGGCATGGCCTCCCGTCTTCTTGTGTCTGGTCTCCCCCGGTCCCTCCCTCCCCTTCCTCCGGGCCCTGGCCCTGCCTTTGTCCCCTGTGTCGAGGGGCGCCTGCGTGCTGCCCCTCACTCCTCCCAGTTTCCACCGACAGAGGCTCCGTTGCAGACACTTCACATGGACGTGTGGGGCCCTGCCCGCGTCCGTGGACTCGGTCACGAGCGCTACTTCCTGTTGGTGGTTGACGACTACTCGCGTTACACCACAGTCTTCCCCTTGCGCAGCAAGGGTGATGTCACTGAGGTGCTGATCGACTGGATCCGCGCAGCTCGTCTCCAGCTCAGGCAGAGCTTTGGCTCGGACTTTCCTGTGTTGCGTCTGCACTCGGACAGAGGCGGAGAGTTCTCCTCTGGCCTTCTGCGTGCCTTCTGTCGTGCGCGAGGCATCCGCCAGACCTTCACGCTTCCGGACTCACCGCAGCAAAATGGGATTGCAGAGCGCCGCATTGGCATGGTCATGGACGTCGCTCGTACGTCTATGATGCATGCGGCTGCCCCCCATTTTCTGTGGCCGTTTGCGGTCACGTACGCGGCGCATCAGATCAACCTCCACCCCAGAGTCTCTAGGCCTGAGACCTTCCCAGCCCTGCTGTGGACGGGGAAGGTTGGCAATGCGTCGGCGTTCCGGGTCTGGGGATCTCGGGCGTTTGTCCGCGACTTGTCTGCGGACAAGCTGTCCCCTCGCGCTGCTCCCTGCGTCTTCCTGGGGTTTCCCCCCGACGCCCCTGGGTGGCAGTTCTACCACCCCACCTCTCGACGTGTTCTGTCCTCCCAGGACGTCACGTTCGACGAGTCGGTACCCTACTACCGCCTCTTCCCCTACCGCACTCCGTCCCTCCCCCCGCCCCCGCTCTTCTTGGTACCAGGTCCCCCCCCGGTAGACCCCCTCCCCCCTCAGGGTCCTGCCCCTTCAGGTGTGTCCTAGGTAGACGCGGTCGAGCCTGTCAAGGTCACTGGTGACTCTGGTGCTGCTGCGGGAGCTGAGCCTGGGGGTGCTGAGCCTGGGGGTGCGGAGTCTGGGGGTGCTGAGCCTGGAGGTGCTGAGTCTGGGGGTGCTGAGCCTGGGGGTGCTGAGTCTGGGGGTGCTGAGCCTGGGGGTGCTGAGCCTGGGGGTGCTGAGACTGGGGGTGCTCCGCCTGGAGGTGCTTTGCCTGAGGGTGCTGAGCCTGGAGGTTCTTCGCCTGGTGGTTCTCCGCCTGGAGGTGCTTCGTCTCGCCGAGAACCACT